GGTGTCTAGTAATGCATATAGGCCTAGTGAGTGTAACAGGTTTCGTAGTACATCGTCAACAGATAAGCTACAAGATGCAATACAAACACGGTTGTGTTTTACACGTTTGCAAGAGGTGCACACAAAGGTGAACTGTGAATCAGTGAGCAAGTTCAGTGATAAGTTAAATGTGAAATCCAGGTATGATTCCGAATTGTGTGACGATAACGGTGCGGTCAAGAAGTCCGTAGTCTCAACTAGTAAGCCATTGTTGAATAGAGTGTCACAGAATAGAGTTACTGCTTCAGAGTTCAGTTCTGACTCCACAAGTTTACAAGGTATTGCTAGTCAGAGTGAAGGTATAAAACCTTTAAGGATTTGTGAGGAGGAACCAGAATAGTCTACTTCTCTTATTAAAGATTTTGAAAATGATGAAATTGACGGTTAAGTGAATATTCGTGATAATGATCATAATAATATATTTCTTCCTGTTTATGCAGGAACATACCAGTTTTACAGGCATGGATAAGTTATTATATAAATTACACAATTTATGTATGATGAATTTACAGTTTGGTTGTTCTCTCTGACATGAGAGTCAGTCGGGACAGTCTGCTATAAAGTCTGTTTGTGTAGCACATGAAGAGATATAGAAATATTGTCTTCGCATTAACAAAAACCCAGACATCAGATGAATGTAATACGGATATCTGGGGAAAAAAGCTTGAAGTCAATTCTCTTATATAACTTTGTTGTGAGCAACACCCTTGGTTTAAAGTTTATTGATGTATTTTGTTGAGATCAGTGATATATTTATTCCATTTTTCAGCAGTCTTATCTTAGTTTTATAACAGGAAAGAAATTTGATCGTGGAGGCGAAAACTAGATAAGGTCATGTGAAGTTGTTCTACTGCATCAAAGGGTGTCGAGGTCGATTCCAGAATCCTCCATTTGCGCCATTTGTTTCTGCATGGCGGACTGTATTCGTAAGTTCAGAAAAATGTTGAAAACTGTTTGAAAACCAGTTGCTTCTTCATTTCAGATAATGAATACTCATTTACAGCATGTTCGCCAGCGTCTTCAAATGGTAGAATTAGATCGTTCACGGGATTTAAGTGGTTATGATATAGATGGTTTGGAATTAATCCTCATTTCAGTTTAGATGCAGGGTTGTTCGACCTCGACCAGAAGATGAATAGGAGTAGCAGGGTACCAAAAATAGAAAGTATGTGAAAATGATACTTCACATTTGTCTTTGGTTGATCATGATGAGATGAGGGATATGCCTACTACTGCTTAGTTGAACAAAGGTTCTGTACAGCTACAACGTGAAGTAGAAATAAATGCAGATGCAGTTGCAGAAGGCATACATACTTGTGAGACCGTCAGTGTGATTGATCAGCATGTAGCCCACCTATCATCAGATGCTAGTGCTAAACCTGAGCTGATAGTAAAAGACAGCAGTGGTGGTGGTCTTGCATGTAGACAAATTTCTGAAAGTCGAGCAACAACAGCTTTTGATCCACCGCTAAGTTCACCAACTTGTGTCACTCAGTCGTCGTTGGTGTTGTCATCCACAATGAGGAAGACGCCCATCAACTCAAGTATCTTGTGCAATGACTTTGATAGTATTGGTGCATTTGAAAAGACGAAAGATATTGGTCAGTTTAGTGAGGATAAGCCAAGTGTAAACGAAAGAGTAATTGTTAAATTGACTTGCACGAATAAAGGTATTTCTAGTTTCAAGTTACTATTTGAATGTTATTATCTTTGGTGTAAATTACTCTGTTTCTACGCTTGGTTGACCAGATACGTCGTGTGTTTGTTCGTCATCTATGTTCTACGATACAATGTCATGAGCGTGTTACCGTTCAGATTTGAGGATATAGCTGATAGAAGGAAATCAGCACATGAACTCTGCGACGATTTTCCAACCTAGGGCGTCAACCTGAGAAGGGTTGTAGGCGTACTGGTGTAAGTCCTGCAATTCTTCGAAGGAATTCCACCAAGACATGATCCGCGAGGTTATTTGTACTGTTTGTGTATACGTGTGGTGTGTCATATCAATTGGTGTTTTTTGGATTCATTGTGTTTACTCGTTGTTTTCTTACCTTGTTTTTATTGCATAATTTTGGTCAAATTTTCGTCGTGATTACTTCTGAAGTTGTTTCGAGTCTTCTACATCCGTGAATGAATTGATTGATGTTAGAGACGGCAGATGGGTCGTATACACCGTGGTGGCTATTGCTGAGAATGAAATGCATACGGAGATAATTGTTAGGTGCGGTACCACACGCCGGGGAGAAGGAGTGTAAACGACTGAAGCTCGCATACGTCACCGTTACTAGGACTGAGGCAGAATGAGTGACAAGTGATTGCGGTGGTAATTGTTAGTGAGTATATAAGAGGATGTGCGTAGAGTATCGTGAGGTGGTGCTATGGTCACGTTGCATTCTGCAAGAGTCATTCTAGCAAGTGGAGATTGTGTTGCAAGATGTCAAGAGGACACCTTTAACTGGAAGGTGGAGGTTGTCATTGATGTGTGAGATTGTGCTGTGGGTATGCTTGTGGTGTGTTGGCTTTTCTGTTTGTTTTCCATTTCAGCTCTGTCCGTACGACCCAGGTTCTCGCAATGGCATCCAAGTCAACGTGTATTGGTCGTGATAAAAAAGGGATGGATCCGTTTTTTGCCGGGGAGTGTCAATGTAGTTGAAGATTGAATGATCAATTCATGGTTGTTTGCTCAAAATCAACTTCCCCAATTTTCGCGGAGGCATCAATACCACAGTCATCGTCTCATCGGTCGCTGTTCAGAAAGAAGTCAGTGAAACATCGTCAGAAGTAATCTTACGATTTATTATTGTAATATTTGTTTTCAGACCTTAGTTCGTTTATTCCTTTTATATGTTGGTGTAACAATAAAGAAATAACAAGCGGCAGATCGGTGTTTTGGTTTTTGCGTCCGTTATTACTAAGCGTTTCTGAAACTCAAAGGAACAGCGTGAGTCCCTGCGTAGCAAGAGCAGGGCATTGACGGTTTTCGAGACGTGACTGACACTGGTGTTCACATCGTGAGGTCTAGACCTGAATATGGATCCGAGTAACCGGCAATTCATTAGGAGCTAACTCACAAACAATACATATAATTCGATGAATGGCCATAAAGGTGATCTATCATAAGGCTAGTTCACAAAAGTTTGTATGAAAGAGGATCTCAATGAAGGTGAAAGTTGGACGTTTGTTTTTGGAACTGGTAGCCATTGGTGGGCAACTCGAAGGCGCGAATGGTTCGATCGTGTACAAGTTCAACGAGGACGACTGAAAACGAATAAAAGTACTTCATAATTTTGTACAAGACATTTGTTTATAGACTTGTACTGTTCTCCACTTTAATTACCAAACAATATACCTTCCCCCTAACAATACTGGTGTTTTGGAGTTAAAGTCGAAGAAAGTACACGGTATTATTCGGCGCGGAGCGTCTTCGCAACAAAAGGAACTTAGGGATAAATTCCTTGACAGAGGATTATATTACCAGTCGAAGTTTTCATTGTCGGCTTTGGATTTTCTGCAAATATAATTTTCTCAAAACCCGGAAGTTCCATTTCACACAGAGAGCTGATCACACGTAATTTGGTATAATTTGGGTCACCAAATATCCCAGTTTGTCAGGATTAATATAAAATTAATTGTCAGTCAAACATGGCATCCCATCACTGCGATAAATAACCCACTATTTGTTCTAGGACTTATTCGAAATGGTTGGTTTTAAAGTAGAATGACTGATGTTCACCCATTGCACTTCTATATATGACGTTTTCTGACTGATCGCTGAAATATTATGCTCCTACTGAGAGGATGAGAAAACGTTCAAGTAGGCAGGACAAGGGTAAATAGCTGAAAATTGAAGCCACCAACTTTGCTGCGTATAACCTCAAGCGGAATCTCTTCTAGCGGCATGGTGAATTGTCAGTAGAAATTCGAAGGTAAATCCTTGGATCTAAGTTAACTCCTGAAGTTCAATCTATAGCTTGCAGAGAAATCAGTTATTAGGAGTTTCTCCCTTCCGTCATAACTATTATACGGGCAAAAATACGAATGTCTTTTTCTTATCATATCATAGGAGAGGGGAGATCTAATAGCGTGCATTATTTGGGAACAACCCTAAGAGCATAGAAAGATGGTACAAACATTAGTGAAGAATTACGTCGCTGCGGAGTGCTGGTTCCCCTGACGTGCCGCTGGCCTCTAGAAGGCTGAATACCTGCATCACTTAGAGGCTTCCAAGCTCTTACCCATGTCGGCAGTAACTAATGATTGTCATGCAAGTAGTTGGCTGCTTGATTCAGGCCAATCACTGTTGCTAGGCAGCTAAATCAAATAAGCTCAGATAATTCAGGAAGTAATTTGTATCTATGCCCATTCGAAGACTTCTTAAGACGGAAAATATAATTTCAGACCATAGGAAATGCAGTTAACACTCTCCCTCCTCTTCAAATATTAATAATCTGCTTAACATACCTGTAAATCTCAGATTTAGAGGTGAAATATCGACCAAGGAATATGAGTTATGCAGTGAATTATCGGCCTTACTGAACGCTTTATTCCCCTGTAAACTCTAAGAGACAGTTTCGCAAAACTTTTCACCTGAACAGTCCAAAAAGGAATAGGCAGGCAAAAGTAATTAACGGTAAAAAGCCACAGGCTCAATCACAATCGGAAGTTCGAAGAACTGGGTGTTTGTGGAGTACTGATGATTCTGATTATTTCGGCTTATATCATATGGATCGCTTAAGAGCGGCATCCCTAATCTTCCCTTTCCATTCGGAAAATCTCCCAGAGGAAATCACAAAAGGCATTTAAACTGCTATCGAATGACCACCTTGTGGAATTACGATTCTCAGATAGAGTGGTAAGCACTGAGACTCAAAGTCAAATCAAGCGGTACCTTTTCCTTTGACGAACAATTTCTAAGCGGATTCAGATAGTTACAGAGACAAACTGTGAGTCAATTCTGAAGACCGGAGACCACCATTGAGGTTTGAATAAAGCCGGCCTATTCAAGTTTGTCCTTGGCGCCATTTACACTGTTCTCGCAAGCTAATTTAATCAAATGACTTGATTTAAAATGAGTCGTAAGATCTGTTTCTAGTATTTCATACCATTAATTCAGAAAAGGATGTGAACAAAGTAGTCACGGTATATGCCTATTTGCCACAAGGTGATAAGTCCAAAGAAATATCGTATACTGATGCCAAAGTAATCGGAAATGGGTCTTTTGGTGTCGTCTATCAAGCCAGACTTATAGAAACCGATGAGATTGTTGCTGTTAAAAAGGTTCTCCAGGACAGGCGTTTTAAGGTAACTGATTTTTGTTAATCGACTGTGGTTGATACATGGCAGATCTGTCGATGTAAACTATTTTTTACTTTTGTGACCGGTTTTAGCTAGCAAAAGATCAATATATTGAAATTTTGCTTGTTATGTATGTCGATAATTATGCCACGGTCTTCATATTTTAAGAGGATCTCACACCATTTGATGATTTGATTGTGCTCACTTCGAACATATAGGCTTCCTGAAAGAAAGTTGATGGATCTCTTAACGTATACAAAGCCAAATTATGTGTTTGCTAGTTAATCTTCACCTGGAACATTATACCCCAGTCCCTTGACTGACATCCAATGAAATATTTACATACATACTTATTTTCGCGTTAGTGTGTTGGTTACGCGTTGTATATGGTGTTTTATCTTACTTGATTATTCTTAGCGGTATGATTTAGTTGTATTCATATTTTCTTTTTTGAACTTCAAGGATTACAGAAAGTGGTCTCCATCATAAATACCCAGTCTGCATTTTTGTAATTTGATCATACATTGGCTAGTAGATATAAACTTAGTTGATTTCCCTGTGACTATCTAGGAAGATTTTCCCCTTTTTTATGAATTGTGGTGATTGATTAGCGATCATATTCAAACAGGACTATTTCGGATCATCATACGCTAGCTGATACCATGGTTAATCTAGCCAATAAACCATTAGTACTATCACGAAACATCTCTACAATTATACCGTCAAATATCTCTGCTTTGCCCCGTTTTCGTAAATAGGCGGATTTTGCAGCCGTAGTTACTCTTGGATGACCGATTTTATGGCCCACTGATGTGGGGATTGTCTAGTGGGCAAAAATAGCACAAATTTAGGCCAGTTAATTTACCTTCCAAAATGTTCTATTCAACTTTCCAATCATTTGTGATGAAAAGTCTCATCCTTCTAGATCATTTCTTTAACTAGGGTTTTTTAGAGCCTGTCTCCACTGATCACAAATAGTTACTTATTATTACTTAGTGCTGTTAGCTTTTCCATTTCCTCCGCAATCGTCACCCACCACTGTTCACACTCGTCTCGAGGTTGATATTTGGAACGCCTTTCGCAAGGTTGGAGTCAGATGAAATCAGCCTTCTCGTATCGTCAGTTTGGATGGAACTGCGGAAATTTACTGACATTTGTATGCCTTTGACCGCATATTATCAACAGCCTCTAGTACTATTTCTATAGTAGATGTGATCCCAGGTTGCCTCAAGATAAGCATTGTTTTATGTTCAGTTATCTTTCTAATTACCAATTTCATTTTGGAGATTGAATTCTTGCAAATACTTGATTGACGAATTTGAACTTCATTCTTATTTCAAGCGTTTTAAAAAGTATTGTCAGCATGTATAATTCAAATTTGAGGTTCAACCAACACAGTGGTGACTAAATCCAACTGTCGCGTCAACTGCTTAAATAACCACTCATGATCTCTGCATTCCCATAGATGGCTGTTTTACTTGTTCCTGTATTTTCTTACTAGGTTTTGTGTGAATTGTCCTAGAGAACGGTGTTTATCTTTTTGTCTTGATTTGAGTAGATCGAAGCAAAAAGTGAAGTCGTAGACAAGAAGATTACTCCTCCATCATCTCTGCGTTTCGACCCTATTTCTTACCCAGAAATTCGGTTGGTGAGTTGATTGCCTACTTTTACGAGAGAGGTGGTTGTGTTTGGTTTACGGGAATTCCTACAGATTAAGGGGATGTCCCATGTAGTAAAGTTACCTGTTGTGGTGGGATTCTTGTCCTACATACTTTTTATCAGCGGTAGAAGTTCGGCAAAACTTTGTTTGTAATCATTTCTTTATGATTCTTCCTGTATTTACTAAGCTTGACTTTCTTGGATTCAGTTCTGTTGTTTAATTGGGTTTTTATAAAGTGGTCCATGAAGAAATGTCATCCACCAGCCATTGTGTCCGTGTCTCACGTATTAGAAATTATTGATTTTAAAGCTTTTTGTATGCTAGGTTGGTATCAGTTATTTTTATTTACACCAGAAGTGAACATATGGCTCTCGGGTTTGAAACCTTATCCATATGCTTCAGTCTAGGCGATTGGATAGTATAATCGGTACTCATGCAATAAATGTGGTACATAAAAAATCTGCTCCAGGTAACTATCTTTCAACCAGTAACCATCAGTGGGACAGTTGGTAGACTTAGTTTGTGGTAATGTGCCATAGTTAATCCTGGGATATAAATAAACATCACTGTTACTCAAAAATCAGGTTTGTTCGTGTTTCCAGTCCTTCCACTAACTATTCATTCACTGACCCGGTGAAGTTGAAAAATTTATCTTCTTTTGTGAAAGCCTTGTACCACTTGGATTAAGTATTCGACTTTCGACCAGCGAGTCATGCCTTCAAGCCTGCTTCAAGTAGTGTATTCAGACCCTGTGGAGGATATTAATATGCATGTGTTTTTGAGTAACATAACATCATATTATCTTTCACTTTTAGCTTTAGTTGATTGTCGTCCATCTATACACTGTCCTTGTTATCATCCGTTTCAAACAACTGTCCTTTACTTTCACTATAGATTTATCTGTTGTTTCCAACTTTATTCTGGAACAGAAAAACATTGCATTACTAGTTAACAACCCTTTCATGAATAGTTACCGTGTTACGTTTTTCCGGACTGAAAGTTGAAATAAATCGATTTTATGTAACATGAAATAAACGATGATGAAATGTTGAGTATTTAAAATTTCCAGCAAATGAGTTACCAGGCTTACATACCGGTACTTTTTTGTAATTTGATATACTCAAGTGCTTTTACTTAACTGGATAGCTCATCCCATTGTACCTAGCGACTTTGTAACTTGCAAAAGGTTATATAAGGTAGTATTTATAACACACTATGCGCTATTAGGATTGAAAGCAAATTTAGAGAATGAAATACTAGAAAATCTAAGTGTTAGTATAACACTGAAATATATAGTAATTAATTATCTTTCTATCACTAAATCTGAAAGCTATAATGACAATTTATCACTTCATGCATGAATTGATAGCCACTTTATTTAATACCAACACCATGTTATTTTAAGTCTTTTTGAAGATAGTTATGACCGCTGGTTGATTTTACTGATATATTTTGCAAACTAACTGATAGGCAACTTTAGTGTCATTCAAATATCTGCGTTGGGTTGTGCGCTTAGTTTATTGCTTGCTAGCCACTTCTGCTGAGTGAGCAACTAAATAAGTAACCAAAGTATAGTTCATATTTTTATCAGTGATCGGTAGTTTACTACTTAAACTCCTGAATAACTGTGTAGGCGTATTATTATTATTATTGTATCCTTTAGTTCCTAGAGGAACATAGGGCTTCAGCTGCGCACCTCCATTGCCTTCGGTTTTCTGACAACTTTTTCACCCTGCTCCAGGTATGTCCACATGCTTTCATCTCCTCCTCGCATGACCTCCTCCAAGTCACCCTTGGACGACCAACTGTGTAGGCGTACTCTCCACAAGATTAGACAGTCTGGGATCATAACCTTTATCATTTATTTTTTCTACAAACTCAGCACAGCATAGGTAGTAGTAAATGAACCACACAGAGTAATATAACAGAATCGTGTAACCTGAATGTCAGTCTCCAGCTCATTGATAACCACTGGATGGATTTCCTGAAGCTTCATTGGGAAGTCACAACCAGCCGGGTCTATCGTGTCAAGGTGAAGTGGGTGCTCATTGAAGACATTGGTGAGGGAGGCGCTATAATGCGAGTTGACGAAGGTAGAATTCGGGGGTCACTGAATCCCAGGCCAAGCAGCTGAATAGTCGACGAGCTTGGTCTCCTTAACTGAATGTCCCAGGCTGGATCCCCGTAGGAGGCGCGTGTGCGCACTGCTGAAGAGTCCCCAAATTGGGTGGAATAGCTGTCCAGTGCTTCCTGGTTTCCGTTGGTCCCTCAATTGATCATGGTTCGTGACGAGAATCTAACAATTAAAACATTCAGAAAACTTGAAGTAATGAGTAGTAAATGTAACGCAATGCTGTGAGAAGCAGTCACACAAAAAGGAGGTATCATGAACCTGTAGAATGATATCTCATACTACTGAGTTGCACAGTTTCTTGGATGGTTATTCACAGTTTGGTATTCAAAGATAGAAGGCTGATGCATTTTATCTAACTATTGAAGTCTATTCTTTTCTGTAACAGTAGAGTGTAAATATTGTACTATTGAATATCATAGCTAAAAGTTGGTGAACATCGTTTTTAATGAATTTAATGCTTCTTTGAATCTTTGTGTTTACTGTTCATGAGATGGAAAGTGATATTTAATAAATGCATATCCTAAGTCGAAGAAAATCTTAGTCATACTGAACATTTTATTCCATTTTCCCGCTGCCACACGTTTCTGTTTATTTAAACATATCGGTTGCAGGAAATCTACATCAAGTTATTTATTTTAAACTTGTGTTTACTTTGTTATATTTCACTGCTAAAAAAATGCCAAGCTCTCACAGCTATTTATACTACTAGGAATATACCAGCTAACTGTTGTTAAAATGCACCAGCAATTTTTTTACACTAATTGTCTAAAACTTTGTACCCTAATGACGCAATTATAAAACCCAAATAAAAGGACGAAGTTTCTGTTTCGCTTCAGTCATCGAGGTTATCACCCAACTATCACGTGATTGTAACACGTTCACCACTAAGCCAGCTGCTTATTTGTTTATCATTATTATTTTCTTTTAGAATCGTGAACTACAAATCATGCGACAATTGGATCATCCAAATATTGTTCAGCTGAAGTATTTTTTTCATTTCGTGGGCGAGAGAGTAAGTTTCTACGCTTTCACTAATGATCGGGAGATATAAATATATGTGTAAAACTCGCGCACTGTAGTAGTATGTAATTCCATATTAGTTTGTTTATTAGATATATCAGAAATTGAAACGGTATTATTTACTGGGTGACGTTTAGAACACAATTTATTGTTCATGATCATATCAATTATAATCACACGACTTCGAAACCTGAGTTTTATAGTTTTCTTTGTCTTCTCCTATTTGTCGTAAGGGTAGTAGAATTTTCCATATATCTGGAACAGGTGTTGAATCATTCCTATTACACGTATTTTCAGTTGATTCGATTAACAAAGCTTCTGTTGTCAATCTCTCCCTCCACCCTGTGACATTAAATTTCAAAACTGTCATCTTATCCTATCCATCCTATAATGTATGGTTGTGTGCAATTGCATGTAGTGAGTGCTATAGTTGTACTATTCTCTAGATTTCTTATCTTATTCGGCTCAACTAATCTAGATTTTGCTAGATTTTTATGCTCCGCTAGTCTGAATGTACCTGTTCTACTGCTTTGACCTATGTATTTGACCTGATAATCATTGCAAGCAGGGTATTGGATAAACTAAATTGTTTTGTTTTAAAGGCTCCGCAGGGTCCTTTAATCTACAAAGCTTGTTTCTAATTGAGTTTTGTGGGTTTGAATGCCACTTTTATGATACCGTTCCAATGTGTGATATATCTATTAAAAAAACCAATATGAAATGTGGAAATATAGTTTTTAACATACATATATAAATATATTGTTCCTACGGTACGTCATTTCGCCACGTAAACCTTCAGATAATTAGGCTAGACACTCGAATGCTTGTGCCACAGTATGATGCTGTACGCAGTTCTAGTCCTGCAAATGACTATAGGAAGAATTTATTCAGATCACGTAGTTTTTTCATCGGAACGCCAGCTCATCTGTTTAATATAAAGCATACATGCAAATTACTTTGTTATTGTTTATTTATTTCTATTTTATTCGTTTGCGTTCCTAGTGGAACCTACGGTCTCATGCTTAAGCTTTGAGTTTGCAGTAACATACGTATTCTTTATGGGGTGGGACTGCCAGCCTCACACTCAACCTTTCCTCTTCACCGGGCTTACGACTGGTTTGGCGAGGTTCAGCAGTGCGTCCACTGAGGATCGAACCTCGGATCATGTGATACACTTTCTGTTAAATGTTTTGTTGCATTCTTGGCATGTACAGCTGCCACTCCTGCACACATGATTCTTGTGAAGGCAATCCGTCGAGTGATTCTGTTTATTATTACTAGTCAGTATGTATAATTGGACTGTTGCAAGACTAAGTTTCCTCAACTGTCTATCAGATATCACAATCATTTCAATATAAAGTTGTTGAATGCACTGCTGATCATCATGTTAGCATATCTAAAGGGTCTTTGTATTTTGTTACTTATGACTTGTTATCCTTAAATTCATTTAAGAACTCGTTTACAAAGTAGTAGAATCACTTTGGATTGTATTATTTTGTCTCTTAATTTTGCATTCACTTTTTATTTTCTAGAAAGATGAAGTATATTTAAATCTGGTTCTTGAATTCATCCCGGAAACAGTTTATCGCGTTGCCCGACGATATGCCCGCCAAAAAGAAACAATCCCACTTCTATTTGTGAAGGTAATTTTATTTTTGTTCTTAGGTGTGGATCGGTTCCTATTCATATCAAACCTTGACTTCTGTCTCAAGTAATTATCAGTACAACATATATATATATATAATGGATTTTGTTTTCTAACAACTGATTTCTATATTGGAAGTAATAGTGTACAATCGCTTCTTGGACGTTATCACACGCTACTTCATTATTGCACTATATTTTTGTTAATTAATATTGTACGCACCCAGCGGGGTTCGAACCCAGGACCCTCGGGTTAAAAGGCGTGCTCGCAGACCATTGAGCCACTGGGACCCGATCCAATGGTCCTTGAATTCTAATTTCTGCCAATTCACGACGTAGCGCGACCACTTCGCGATGTCTTCTTCGATGAGTTACTGCCTCATCTTCAACCTGCTGTACGCTACTGGTCACGGCTTCCCACTAGAACCCCCAGGTTAACTGCCTGAATAAGGCCAGTCACTGGTGAGCATCAGATTAATTTTCAAGTATTGGTTTTGTAGGGATTTTGTTTGATTACGTGAAGGATTTCATCATAAGCTGACATCAGTTAGAGAACCACATTTCAGACAATTTCTTCCATTATGGCACTGACTATAGAGTAATTTTTTATTATTTTAGAAACCACCTCTGATTAATTGTATCAATTATGTCACCCCCTCTACCACTCAAATAGTAGATTACTTACCACACTTTTTTGATAAATATAAATACGACTTTCAAGTATTGTTTCTTTTTGTAGGGATATTATTTAATTGGTTGGAGGATTTCATCATGGGCCATTGGATCGGGTCCCAGTGGCTGAATGGTCTACGAGCTCGCCTTGTAACCAGAAGGTTCTGGGTTCGGATCTCGATGAGTGCGTACTGCTGAAGAGTCCCAAACTAGGACTAAACAGCTGTCCAGTACTCCCGGGTTTTCCAGTGGTTCTCTAACTGATGTCAGCTCATGGTGAAATCCTCCATGCAATTAAACAAAATCCCTACAAAACGAATACTTGGAAATAATTCTTGTATCACTCCTTTTGTTACTAAGGGAGACTTTTTTGTCCTTCTTCTTTTTATCACTATGTTCATCTGTCTAAAATTCTATCCTTATTTATCCATGAGAAAACACTCATCTCACTTGTCGTCAGACTAGACGTGAATATTATTTTCCAATGCAATTAATTATTTTCACGTAAACATATTTTTAGTGGGTCAATCAGTCGAAAAGATAGAAAGAAAATTGTCGCCATTTTTCTTTTGTGTATCTTGTGAATCAATGTCCTTATGTTCACTAAGAAAGAAAAAGAACTTAAAGGATTTAGTTTGATTTTGAGTGTGAAGGGTAGGATAAAAGTACACAATGCTTGATTTTAAAGGTGTAGGTGGTTGGCTTAAGCGATAATTAGACTTTAAGACAACAGATTCTAAGTTCAGTTCCCCCTTACGTGTTTCGGCGCAGAGGACGTGTATAATTCTATGCTGTCAGTCACAGCCTACATAAGCGTAGCTTAGACGCTTACTAGCGAAATCACTTATTTTCACTATTCGTCACTGTATTTTAAGTTTGTAACGGTAGTTTTGTAGAATATTATATTTTAAACGATTGAGTCGTAGTACAGTTGTACGAACCTACCTTCTCACAATAAAAAATGACTTTCGTTGTTGTTTTTTTGGGTGCTGTTTTCACTTTTACAAAACTACTAATATATTAACCAAAAAAAAGTATCAGCTGAAGTCAAGGTCTGTGAGGAGTTGACCTTGAGTGTAGCCAATCAGCTTTAGAGAACACTACGAAAGGTCATTCCAAATCAAATCCTGCCTGTCTTTATGAATTTGGTGCGGATACGTACAGTAGTTTACCTACTCCTTAGGTACTTTTTCTGTGAATCTAGATTATTAAGTAAGGTTTAACGTCAGCATTATAGTTCCTGTTAGGTTGAAGGACAGTGTCAGGAAAAGGAGTGGATCTGAAAGTGGTACAACCTACAATCACCTGGGTATTTTATATATTTAGCACATGTTATGATTTCTCTATAGATTATGCTTTCAGCAATTGGGAGAAATTTTCACAACACAGTCATCCAGTGTAATGTTATGTTTGGAATGCTACTTAGCAAATTATTTCATTACGATTATACAGATTTCTGTATCTGAATTCTGACTGATTGTTCGACGTCACCGTGATTTCGACCATGATAGTTTCATTTTACCCTGCTATTCATTTCTCCATGGGCTTCATTTTGCTGTCTAACATACAATGGGGATTCAGTAAATACAATTAAAAATGACTCAAATATATGTGAACATCTTAAGCTGTGTGTTTGTTGTGCACTTTTCTTGGATGTTGTTTTGGCTTCTCCCAGTGTGGATATATCGGTGCTAAATTGAGTCAAATATTCCACGCATATATATTTGTTGGTATTATCTACCGCTCTGATAATACTATCTCTTGTATAACTTGGTTATATATAAAAACACAATTAAGTTGATAGTCACCAAGATAGTCTGCCCTTACTCACCTCCATATAGTCTAGCATCACTGAAAGTTCTCTATGAAAGAATGCAATCTACACAAGTTGTAAAGAATTAGAGATTCTATAATATTTCACTTAAACTGATAGAAGCTCAAAAATAAACTCAACCCTACTGAACTTTGAGTAGATGGGCATTCAGCTATGAAAGAAATACAAACTGAGTGTACTTAATGGACACTTTAGACATATTACTTTGGTTACAGGATTTCATCATAAGCTGACATTGGTTAGAGAACCATTGTAAAAACCTACAGGGAGTACTGGACAGCTGTTTCGTCCTAGTTTGGGACTCTTCATCAAAACACACCCACCACCACACGGGTTTGAACCCCAGGACCTTCTGGTTACAAGGCTAGCGAGCTCGTAGACCATTAAGTCACTGGGATCCAATCCAATGGCCAGCTCATGAATTCTAACTTCAATTCTGTCTGTGTCTGTCTGTTTTCGACATAGAACTTTGCACAAATGTGCGGAAGTTCAAGTCGCCACACTCCGTGTAGCACGCGAAGCAAGAGAAGAAAGTACAAGAAAAGCACAATAGAAACAGTGAGCAGAGGTGTGAGACAAAGGAGTAATAACGAAGAACAAAACAGTTTCATTGGAGATCATAAGTCACAAGGAGTGGATGCATCTGCACCAACCACTGAGAACGATTTTGAGCCATGTCACCAATTGTTTCCAACCATAGATTTTTACCGTCCCGAGGACCCCAACCAGTCAGGAAGTCTACACCTTCCTACGTGGCTTAGACCAACTGTTGTGGATTGTGTTGTGCCAATTCACAACATAGCGCGACCGCTGGCCAATGTCTTTGGAGAGTATTTGTCCTGGCACGCGACCTGCTGCACCCTACTGGTCACGACTTCCCAGTCGCCAATGAGCATCTCATTGATATTCAAGTATTGGTGGTTGCGCTATATCGGGAATTGGCAGAAGTTAGAATTCATGAGCTGGCCATTGGATTGGGTCCCTGTGGCTTAATGGTGTACGAGTTCGCCTTGTAACCAGAAGGTCCTGAGTTCTAACCCCCTGTGGTGGCTGCGTACTGCTGTCCAGTACTCCCTGTTGGTTTTCCAATGGTTCTCTAACCAATGTCAGCTCATGATGAAATCCTGTAACCAATCAACCAAATCCCTACAAACCAATATTTGAAGATATTACTTTGTTTGAGAAAAATTCTAGGATGATAGCACTTTTACACAGTTAGGGAAATAACTTTTTATATTTACTGTAATCGCATATGTTTCAAATAAGACGTTTCATTAAGTATGTTTTGTTCAATGTTATGTTGTATCATCACATGAATATCTACTGTTTGCTATGCTTTATAATAGAATTATTATCGACATTTCCCTAAATATATTTGCGTATATATAGTATACCACATTTATTTCACACAATTTATTGACTTTAATTATTTCCGATGGCTTTTTTGTATGTTATTGGTTGATTTCATAATGTCCTTGAGGCATTATCATATATGTACTTTACTATTTACAATGGACAAACGCACATACACACACACACACCCAATGGACTAGGATCAATAAGTCAAGGAGAAATTTATCAAGCTTTGATTTTCTTTCTTTCTTTATTAATTGAAGCTTTTAATGAGATAAGAAAGAATTGTGATAAGTTTTTCTTTTTTCGATCAATCAATTCAATTCATTCAAAAGAAAAGTACAACTCTGTAGAAATTTTTATTTCTTTTGGAGATAAGAGGGTGAGGAGCCGTTAAATAAAAGAGAAAATTTATATACAATCCATTTATATTTGAACTAGTTTTCTAACAACTTCTGTGTACACGAAGTATTTTGTGAAGATGGGGAGGACTGGGCAATAACTTACGGGCTAGAAATAATAATTAGATGAGTACATGTGTACTGGCATTAGTCTCAGAATATATATAAATTCCTCATTTGTTATTATTATTATTATCCCCTTGGGGGATTCTGAGTGGGATATAGAGCTTCAGCAGCACATCTCTGCACATTGTGCAAATATTCCATGTCTCTATTCTTATTTTTGCTTCCATTGAAAGAAGACACATTGACTGACGACTGGTTTCCTAAAGGCTTTCACCAGCCCGCATCGTTTTGAATCTCCGAAGAAAAAGTTTGTCTGTTATATTTCTCTTGTGTTTTGTTGTTTCTCTAGCGATTGGATTGATTTTCCAGGGTAGGGTCTCTAGCCCTATGATATATGTGTGATTTCCGACAAACTAGAAGATATGCAAGTGAAAAGCAGAAAAAGCATCAAAGATAGGACTTCAGGTGAACATAGAGAAAACAGAGCTAGGTGATGAAGATTCCTGGCCAACACCAACAGAAACAACAACAACAGACAGCAATCAGTATAAATGGGAAGAACCTGAAAGAAACAGCCTCCTTTACCTACCTGGGAAGCATCGTTTCAACTACAGGCGGAGCTGACGAGTATATCAAAGCCGGAATCGGAAAAGCAAGACAAGCTTTCATTACTCTTAAGTCTGTGTGGAGGTCAACAGCACTCAGCATCAAAAATAAAATCCAGACTTTCAACTCCAATGTGAAGTCAGTTCTACTTACTGTACGGAACAGAGACTTGACGCGTCATAAAGAGCATCTTAAACAAACTACAGACCTCCATTAACAGTTGTCTTCGCTCAATAGGGATGGATCTCTGGCAATGAGCGAACCAACCAGGAACCGATTATAAAACAAATAGGCAGGAAGAAATGGAGATGGACTGGCTGGGCATACTCTGAGAAAACCCTCAAGTGACATCACTAGACAAGCCATCGCTCGAGTGGAATCTGAAAAAAAAAAAAAAAAAAAAAAAAAAAAAAAAAAAAAAAAAAAAAGGGAAGCGGTGAGTCGGTCGTCAGTGCAAGGGTGACTTTGAGGAGGTCATGTGAAGAGGAGATGAAAGCATGTGGGCAGACTTGGAGCGGAGTGAAAAAGTTGGCAGAAAACAGAATGCAATGGAGGCGCGCAGCTGAATCCCTATGTTCTTCTAGGAATTAAAGGATATAATAATAATAGTGCCCAAACCCCACCCCTTTTTCTCCGTGCTTGAGACCGGTTAGAAAACTTAGTGAGCCACTAAACTAGGCAAGGTTACAAAATTCTTCATACCGATATAGAAATTGGATTGTACTGTAGCTGTTGCAATAATAAACGTATCCAGTTGCTTCTACTTGCTTACTGAATGATTGATTACCATTACTCACGTATTAAATATGCATAATTACAATTCACAAGGGATTTATATGCAAGTGAATACAAATTATTAAGATATGAAGTTGAATTAATAATAATAATGCATAAAATTCAACCTTGCCTATTAGCAAGTAGTCAGGTGATCTCTCTCTTGAAGAAGAAGCAGAAATGCGTAAACCTTTTTGATTGATTAACTGGAAATATTTTCGGGTTTTTAAATCATAATCTGGTTTTGTAAGAGATGTGATAAAAAAATGAAACCAATGAACATGTATTAATAAAGGCCTCATTATCCAAATCACAACTGATTGATTTCTAAAGAAACAGGCATCAAAGCATATTCTATTTTATTAGTTTTTGTAAAAAGTTTTGTTCAATTATACTCTTTTTTTTAAATAAAAAATATATATGAGTGGAACAAAACGAGCCAAATTGAAGTAGATACACATCGGTGAAATCTGAGTATATGCTATGCTAAAAAAAGTACATCTGAACTTTTTCACTCAGTTTTCGATTAGCCTTTGCCTTCTGTAGATCACATACGTTTTGTAATAGTGTTTCATCCATAGAAAGTATAGCTGTGTCATGAATCCAAAGATATCCTTAACTATGCCAAATTTTAAAGCAGTTCTGTAGCATATATATACTGCCTAGATTTTATGTTTCTTTCAACCTTAAATTTAAAACACCACCTTGTTTTTATGGTGACCTAAATTTACCATATTTCCTAGAGTAAAAGTAGCAAAAATAGTAAAAAGGAAGTTTCCCCTACATCTTTGCTTAGTAACACCCTATTTACCATGACCTTATTACGTCACATGAGGAAAAAGAGGTCACAACGTATTTTAATAAGTAATTCCACCAGCTGACATTCATAAGTATCTGTAAGGCCTAAAACTTAAGTTTGGGTTAGACTTTAAGAATTCACATACCATTTGTCGCCTCTTGTGTATCTACCAATTTAAGCGCGCCTGTGGAGCCAGTTACATAGGCCGTACAATTAGGCATATTTCTCATCGGATTTCCGAACATCACCCTGAATAGTGGTTAAGCAAAGGACAAACAAAATCCATTCGTAGCGCTATTCTATCTCATCTTGTGGATACAGAACACAGGATTGATGTCAACGAGGCTTTCAAAGTCACTTACCGCACATACTAACAAATCTTAACTTCGCCTGAAGAGTTCGATTACTAAATATTGCTGAGGCTGTTGGGTTCCACACTAAGAAGCCTAATTTATGCCTCCGAAAGAAGCTAGTTCAGACATTATCCTTACCCCACTGGCCATCTAGGTATGAATGATCCTCAATTTTTGTGGAAATTTCCCTAATTATAGTTGATATTCTATTTGCTGTTATATCTAAATTATTATTATTAGTATAATTTATGCATCTTTAATGAACTGTAATTCCATTGATCTTATTTGAAAAACGCCAATATTGTCATTGACTACTATTCTGGAATATTCTATGTATATAAACAGATATAATTGTAGAGCCAGAAGAAGAAATTATCGAAAAGGATATTCTTTGCTCAATTATTTTGTGAATTTTCGGTCGGCTTGCCTCGGTGTCTCTAATTCCAAAAACGTCCCCTTAATGGTGATAATCAACTGATGAATATATGTGTTGCGCCTTATTAGAGAGTTTTAGGAAAATAAAGAGTACTTTATTATTATTACACACTGATATAATTTACGCATATCTGACTACTAAGGGGACTTAAAGATATTTCCATTAGCATATTAAAAAGTTATATCGTGAAAGGAATTTCAGACGTCGAGTAGTACTATACAAATATCTGTAAAATTATAGTTTCAAGGAAATAATTTAAGAAGTGACGACATACACTATCGTAATATGAATGATAATTGAAGTTGAAAAAAGCTTATGCGATTGGTTCCCGTATAACTGTAATTTAGATCTCTGTTTTAAACTATAACAAGTTAAGCCTATCTGATCTAATTTCACCGATAGTGGGTTTCAATATGTAAAAGTAATTTGATGTAATTATTATTTAAAAATAGTATCATTGTTTGTGTAGAAATTATCTTTGAACATGTACTAAGTTTTGTTTTTCATTTCCTAAAAATTTCACCCCATTATCATCTTTTATTGTTTTGTGCGTTAGTTCATTTCAGTAATTTTCGTTAACAACTGTTTACTAACTCCTTCTTTCAGCTGTACATGTATCAATTGTTTCGTAGTCTGGCGTACATACATCACAAGGGTATTTGTCATCGAGATATCAAGCCACAAAATTTACTTTTAAATCCAACTACTGCTGTTTTGAAATTATGCGATTTTGGAAGGTTAGTTTATAACAAGTTATGCTTGTGCATATTATGTCAAGATTTATTCCTATTGTGGTGTTGGATAGATAAACGCATGATTCAATTTTAGAACACACAGAAAGTTCGGGGTTCGATTCCCTGTCAACATATTCTTCAACCTCGTCGTAGTTTACTAGCCGTTGACCAGAAACTGGATGATTTGACCACCGGATACACCTCTGATGGCTTTGGTGTTAAATTAGCGAAACAGCTGGTCTGTGTTTAAATCACTTTGATTTGGCTAACAAACACATGGTTCACATTTGATCGGTGTACAACTACTCATTTCAACCAGTCAGTAGTATATAGTTCTACTCAATTATTCTTGCTTTCATGATTACCATTCATCATATCAAGCAGATCACACATTGGAATCTGTCTGTCTGTTTTCGACATAGAACTTTGCACAAATGTGCGGAAGTTCAAGTCACCACACTCCGTGTAGCACGCGAAGCAAGAGAAGAAAGTACAAGAAAAGCACAATAGAAACAGTGAGTAGAGGTGTGAGACAAAGGAGTAATAACGAAGAACAAAACAGTTTCATTGGAGATCATAAGTCACAAGGAGTGGATGCATCTGCGTTAGCCACTGAGAACGATTTTGAGCCATGTCACCAATTGTTTCCAACCATAGATTTTTACCGTCCCGAAGACCCCACCAGTCAGGAAGTCTACACCTTCCTACGTGGCTTAGACCAACTGTCGTGGATTTCATTGACTGGTGAAGCCATGTTTTTGTTTGACCGCCGCTAGCTTTTTTCCAGCCTGACCCTATATCCGCTAACATTGCTCGTCGAGGGAGGCGATAACTAGGCACGCGTAACACATGTCCTAACCATCTCAGTCTTTGTAGCTTCACGACTTCGTCGATTGATTTCCCCTGTTTATCTAGAACTCGACGCCTAACCTCCATGTTGCTCACCTTATTATGCCACTTTACACGGGAAATAGAGCGCAGGCACCTATGATCAAAGACAGCTAGTCTTTTCATGTCTTCCACTCTCAGTGGCCAGGTCTCACAACCATAAAGGAGGACGGAGCGGACTGATGAGCAGTACACCCGCCCTTTGGTCGATAGTCGAACATCTCGTCTACGCCAGAGTCGGCGTAAACTGGCAAATGCGAAACGAGCCCCTTGTATTCGTGCTGAGATTTCGTCAGAGATCAACCCGTTGGCGTTGGCTGATGGTACTTCCCAAATAGGTGAAGCGGTCAACGTGCTCTACCACTTCACTTCCTATTTTTATACTAGGCGTCGATGTAGTCCAGTACTGTAACATCATCTTGCATTTGGCGGGAGCGAATCGCATGCCAAACATTCGTAGATTGCGGCTCAAGGTGTTTAGAAGACTGCATTTCGTCAGCGTCTTCGCCTAGAAGGACTATATCGTCTGCATATTCTAAGCCAACGAGATTATTCCCTGGTAGCAAGTCAATCCTTGAGTCGCTGAAGTCACTCAGGGTTAAGTCCATTAGTACATCTATGATGAAGTTGAATAGAAAAGGGGATAATGGGCATCTTTGACGGACACCACTAGTCGTCACCAGTTCGGATGACAGCTCGCCGTAAGCCCTCACCTGGCTGTATGAGTACGAGTAGAGTGCCTTAATCAGTTCAATATATTTTCTCGGAATTCCCTTTACAGCCAAGCATCTCCAGAGAACTTCTCGATCGACAGAGTCGAATGCTGCCTTTAGGTCAAGAAATATAATGACTTTGAACAATGCAAGAACTACAGTTTTAGCAGAATAAAATGGTACCATCTTTTATTTCGTTGCCTTCTCGTCAGCTGCTAACAGACCAAAGACATTATTAAATATATCTACAACAACAATTTTAACATACTTGCACAGAGTTAAGTTTAAACAAAAATCAATCGATCAATACACACATACAGTAATATATATATACATATATAAATATGCAATATTAACCACTATTCCGAACAATAATAATCAAACATAATGGAAATTTACATGTATCTGCGGGAGCAGTTACTTTGGAAGGGCAGAAAGAAGGGCATATCTACGATTTTCTGAACATGTACCAAAAAGCTTACGTCTAAAGGGAACAAATGCTTTAAACAGTGCCATCACCAGGCATCTTCTTGACACGGGTCATGAGGTGGACGTTGAAAAGTCGTTCAAAATTATCAATAAGCAAAATAGCTCAATTCTCCTTAAGTTTGCTGAAGCCATTTCCATCAAGCGCCTGAAACCTGATTTATGCGTCCAGAAAGAAGCGGTTATCAGCCTTTCTTTGCCCTGGTAACTGGATAATTTCACCTCTCTTTCCTCCGAATGTGAAATGCTAAAAGTTTCCATTGTGTTTGATTATTATTGTTCGGAATAGTGGTTAATATTGCATATTTATATATGTATATATTTTTAGTGTATGCGTATATTGATCGATTGATTTTTGTTTAAACTGAACTCTGTGCAAGTATGTTAAAATTGTTGTTGTAGATATATTTAATAATGTCTTTGCCGTGTTAGCAGCTGACGAGAAGGCAACGAAATAAAAGATGGTACCATTTTACTCTGCTAAAACTGTAGTTCTTGCATTGTTCAAATTCATTAAGGGGAATAAATGTATGAAATATAATGACTGTTGGACGCCGATAGGAATACCTATGTTCTAGAAACTGTCGGAGGGTGAAGATATGATCAATACACCCTCTTTCTGGTCTAAAGCCTGCCTGGCTCTCTCGTGTTTGTGCCTCCCGAGCACCACTTAGTCTACACATGATTATTGAGCCGTAGGACTTTAGATACTATATTAGTCAAGCTAATCCCTCTGTAATTATCACAGGAAGACTTGTCTCCCTTCTTGTATATGGGGATAATCAGTGACTTACACCAACCCGATGGGACTTCTTCTGATTCCCAGACGCTGCCTAGTACCTCAGTTAATCCGGACAGTAAGCTGTCTCCACCGTACTTAAATACCTCTGGAGTCATTCCACTCATTGGAATCTGAATAGTGTAGGTTTCCAAAGGGAACACCATGGTAGAATTTCACCTGGAACAACTGTCTGTCTGTTTTTGACATAGAATTTTGCACCGATGTGCAGCAGTTCAAGTCGCCACACTCCATGTAGCACACAAAGCAAGAGAAGAAAGTAGAAGAAATACATAATATAGACAGTAAGCAGAGGTGTGAGACAAAGGAATAGTAATGACGAAGTGGCATATAGTTTCATTGGAAATCATAAGTCACAAGGAGTGGATGCATCTGCGCCGTTGAGAACTATTTTGAGCCACATTGCCGATCGTCTTCAGCCTACTTTGGTTTTTACCGTCTCGAAGACCCCAACCAGTCATGAATTCTACGCCTTCCTTCGTGGATGGTTTAAACTAACTGTTGATTGATGAAGCCATATTTTGGTTTAACCGCCACCAATTCTTTTCCAGTCTGACCCTTTGTCACCTAACATTGCCGATAGGTCGAGGACGACGATGAGTAGGCATACGTAACACATATCCTAACCATCTCAGTTGATGCGATTTCATAGCCTCGTCTGTTGATTCCCCTTCCTTACCTAGCACTCGACGCCTAACCTAAGCGGTTAACGTGCTCTACCACTTCACTCCCTATTTCTAAACTAGGAGTCAGTATAGTCCAATCCTGTAACATCATCTTACATTTGGCGGGAGCGATAGCAGCTACCTTCAACAACTGTGTAAATTACAAACTGATTTGCTAATTGCAAATCTGCTACGCAGCCGTTAGTAGTAGTTAGCAGTAAGCCCAGAAAAGAGGAAAGACTGGGCATCAGGCTATCAACACCACGATTACTGAAATTTAAAAGCCCAAAACTCTCTCTTCTTCAGCTCGGAAAGCGCAGAATAGAGAAAATTCAGTGTTGTATAAATATTTTTGCTTATGTGAAGTATGACAGAATTGTAAACTGTGAGATAAATTGCTGAGGTCATTACGGCTGATAGTGGTAAACTGAGTTTTTGTCACATGACTAATTGGTTGAATCGAAAAAATTTCTAACGATTGCAATCTGTTAATGATTACCATATGAAATGCGGTGTGCAATTGAATGTGCATTTCAAAATAACCAGAAAAATATGCATCAAGCAGGTTGTTTCTAAATAAAAATAGAACGTGAACAGCATAGTGGCGTAGAATCCCATTACAAGAATCACTTAATTGATACATTAAAAAAATTCCTTTACATTTCCAGTGGGACATAGGGCTTCAAGCTGGAGGTGTGAAGTTTGGGTAGCTGTGGTGGGGTTGCTAGCCTCATGCCCATCCTTCCCTCTTTAAAAGTTTTATTACTGACTTAGCGAGGTAAATGAGTGCTTTGGCGGCCGGTGATCGAACCCCGGACCACATAAAGCGTGGTTGGTGAGCATTTTATCACTAACCCACCAATGCTTGATACAAAATAGTGATATATTATTTATTAACTACTCACTGTTTGTGGAAGTGATTCTTATAATACAATAGAGCATATAGTTTTCTATATAGGCTTCTGGTTCTGCCTGATGAGATACAAGGGGAGTTGTGAATGAAGAGGGTGGCGTGAGTTGAATAGAATGGATTTAACCCATTTTTCACATGAGTCCAAGTGCCTGTCGACCAGAATATTAACAAGCTGGTTAAGTAGCACGTTGCTTACCCTGCTGACAACCTCTGACATCCTACGTAATAAGGTATAGTCTTTCTTCAGTAGCTCTGGAAAAGCTTAGGGGGATGTCGAGATTTTTTATTTAGTCAGATATTATCAACCTTCGTGTAATTGATGTGATACACTATCAAAACTGCCCAGATGTGCATATTATTGTTGAGAAATATTTTATTATTTTCACTCTACGGAGTTTTTAATAACTTCCTTTCAAAATAAAAAGAGATATTTTTGACTAAAAATCAGACGTTTATGAGTATCTATATTCAGATAATATTTGGTAGTTGTGTGAGTTGTGTTGTCATGTGATCTGCGGAATATTCATGTTCATTATGCTCGGTGATGATGATGTATTCTTTAACTAATAAACCATGCTGGTATTTATTTCTAACGTGCAAGCCTTCAAGCCTACTTATATGCATTGATTCACCACAGACAATATGTCATAACTGAAGCCATACGTTTTGTGTTGTAATTCCTGTGTACTATTTTTATTTCTTAGCTTTATTCGCCTCTAAAAATTTCATATGTTTATTTTATAGCGCAAAGGTATTAGTTCGTGGTGAACCCAATGTCTCTTACATATGTTCCCGCTATTACCGAGCTCCTGAACTAATATTCGGCGCTGTGGATTACACTTGCCAGATTGGTAAGCTGGTTTTCTGTAATAAAAAAAAATAAATGAGAATGTTTCGATAATTCTTCTTTCGAAGATTTATTTTCGCATAGATTTACATAATCAATGATAGTAAGATTATTGATTAGTTGTTGTTACAACCCGTGATCATTCTAGGCAAACTGTGAGCGATATTACTGCGATTTGTGAATGGCTTACTTCTTACAAAAGTCCTTAATGAGCACATTAACCCGCATATAATTGTAGCTAACAAATCGTTGTAAACTATACTCTTGAAATATATAAGGGCTATGACGTACTGGTTTAGGCCCCCAACTTCCAAGGCCCTGAGTTCAATCACTGCTCCACCTACCGGGTTTTCGGCGTCCAAGTAGTATCACAAGCTTCGCACTCTAGGTGTGGCTTACTGCCATATTCTTGAACTGGTCATTCTTTATTGGAAATCAGTCAGAACTAAATAAAACATGATACGTCTTACCTTACCTGTACGAGTTTAATATGAATGACTTGAAGGTACGAACAGAAATAGACTGAACACTTTCCATACTTGATAAACGATACATAGTGTTGAGAAGTTAGTGATAATTTTGTCAATTGTAAGCAGACTACGAAAAGAGAAGTAAAATGTAATAATTTTATCAAGGATTGGTTATGATGTATGTACTCGACTATAAATGATTTTGGATCTTATTTTATGTAATCGTTTATTATTGACTTCCGTTACTTTATGGACCTCTTGTGAAAAGCTTACATGCTGTTCTTGAACAACAGCACAGGATAAGTAGGGATTTTATGAATATTCACTAAGCTTAACCAACCTGATACACCCAGTAATTAGCTTTTAGATTCTATGAATCATGAAAGCATGTCTTCATATTCAAGTATTGGTTTGTAGGTTTTCTAATGGTTCTCTAACCAATGTGAGCTTACGATGAAATCCTGTTAACCAATCAATCAAATCCCTACAAACCAGTACTTAATAAATATCGATGAGATGCTCACTGGAAATTGGCCCTATTCAGCTAATAGTTCTAGTGGGAAGTCGTGACCAGTAGGGTCGGACAAATACTCGCCGAAGACATTGGCCAGCGGTCGTGCTATGTCGTGAATTGGCAGAAGTTGGAATTCGTGAGCTGGCCATCGGATCGGGCCCCAGTGGCATAATGGTCTGCAAAGTTGCCTTGTAACAGGAAGGTGTCGGGTGCGCACTGCTGAAGAGTCTCAAACCTGGAAGAAACAGCCATCCGCTGCTCCCAGGTTTTCGGAAGGTTCTCTAACCGATGTCAGCTAATGATGTTAACCTGTAACCAACCAAAGCATTTCTTGCCTACTTATTACTTTATAAACGCTGCTGGTCTTTGAGATCAAGTGTATTTATTACTCATCGGCATTTTACAGCATTATCATAGATCTGTTCACTATTCTATATTTCAATTATATTTCATAACACTTACAGACGTATGGTCAGCTGGTTGTGTGCTTGCAGAACTTCTTCTTGGACAACCAATTTTCCCTGGAGAAAGTGGTGTAGACCAACTGGTTGAAATTATCAAAGTTCTAGGCACACCATCACGTGAACAAATTCATGAAATGAATCCTGATTATAGAGAATTTAAATTCCCACAAATTAAACCACATTCATGGTCCAAAGTAAGGAAAAAGAATAATGTTTCTTTACAAAAATATTATATATATATATATATCTTATGTCTAATTTTCTTTGCCAAAAATAATCACGTAATTCAATATGCACAACATTTCAATGCATAAATAGAAACCATCAGTGTGTTTGATCAGCCTATTTACGCTCAATAGAATGCAATGTATAGCTGCATGTTTGTTAACTAGATGAGCTGGGAAGCTTCTATGTTGTCTTTTTTAATATACCATGCTGATTATGATGCGTACTCAATTCACTAGTATAAAATAATGGGTTATGTAGTCAGTGGTCAGAGCAGTGATGATGAGTCCCCTCTAAACACAACGTGGGGGGAATAAAAGTTGAAAGTGAAAAAAAATCAATCAGTTACTTCACTAAATTGGTATTTTGATGATTGTGATGAGAATCGTTTATTAATTTGACGAAGTGCTCAAACTAACCATTAGGTTTCATTGGTGGATGGTGACTAGCAGTGGAATCCAGGATGCACATTTCGTCCTATTTGAGACTCGTCATCTGGATGTACCTGCATTTCTCAGTGAATGATGATGTCCTCACCGTGGCTCGAACCCAGTGCCCATAGTTTCAAACGCCTGAGAAATCAGGTACATCCAGCTGACCAGTCCCAAATAGGACGAAATGCGCATGCTGGCTGGATTCCACTGCTTGTCACGATCCACCAGTTAAATACTAACTAAATGCCCAGACATTGTCGAAGCATCTGCTTAAGAAGCCGACATTTCAACCTGAGACCGAGCACTTCGGTCCAATCAATCAACGGAAAAATCTCAAAGTCAATTAACCATTAGGTTGTCTAATTTTCTATCCAGCACATAATCCATGCAGTTACAACTTTAAGTCATCGTATGTATTGCTGCTCATTTTCAAATAATTTTCAACCTACTGCTCTACATTTTGTCTGAGAGAAAAATACAGTGGCGGTGACTGGGGTTGTGATTAAAATATGCTTCAAATCGAATGATATTACATTAAATGCCATATTTTTCATTATTACTTTGAATCTTGTTTTTATTTTACCCATTACAACAATTTTTTTTAAAACACCGATCCACTTCTTTAGTAAGTTCTAAGTGGATCCATTATAAATATCAACGTATTCTGAAAAACTAAGCTACTATTATTCAAGATAGTTAGTGGCTATCGGCAGGAAGTTTAGGGTACCTACGTTTTGTGCTTGCTGACACTTGTCAATTGTAAGGCCGAATAACTCAATGGTAACTTCTCTGATTGCATCACTGGGTAATACAGGTAATACAGGTTCGAATCTCAGAGGGTGGTACATGAGTTCCTTCAAGGTTACAGACACACGCCTTGCTGACTGGTAAATTCCAACAAACACGAAACCTAGGTGGTTTAAGGCTTGCTGCCGATTGCCTCCAACTAATCTAACAGCAAAAATTCAATGTGTGCACCGTGATGACGAGCCAGCTAGTATGATGACTACGTTGCAAACTTGACTGATAGAATTCAGTCTACACCAAACAAAGAACTAAACTTATGACATTAGTTACTTTCTAGTGAGTGTTCAATCGAAGTTTCAACGCGGAACTTTGCACAGATAGATGTGCACCAGTTCGAGTTTGCTACACACAAAGCAAGAGAAGGGGGTAAAGAGAGTTTCAAAAGAGACATAAACGGAGATATTAGGCAGAAAGAATAGTTATTTAGAGGGGGAATAGAATTTCATTGGATGTCATAAATCAAAAAGAGCAAATGCGTCTGCGTCAGCCGTTGAAAAAGACTTTTACTGGTAACATCAATTGTCTCCAGCCTTCATTGGTTTTTACCATCTCCCGAGAACCCCAACCAGTCAGGAAGCCTGTACCTCCCCAAGTGGCTTAAACTAACTATTGTGGATTTCATTGATTGATAAAACCATGTTTTGGCTTAATCACCACTGACTGTTTTCCAACTTGATCCTACGTCAGCTAACATTGCCCGTAGGTCGAGAAAGGCGACAGCTAGGCATACGTAACACATCTCCTAACCATCTCAATCGGTGTAACTTCTCAACCTTGTTGATTGATTTCACCCCCCTCCTTACCTAGCACTCAACTGAAGCCTAACCTCATTATTGCTTACCTTATTATCCCACTTAACACTTGGGATAGAATGCAGACACCTATTATCAATCAAAGTGTTCAAGAAAGATATCAACTTAATTGTTAGACATTTTTACCATTCGGTTGACCAATCACGTAACTATGTTAGAAAACTGAAACAAAGAGTCTCTTTGACTCTTGAAACTGATAGTATTAAAGAGAAAAGAGGACATGTGGCGGCTCTTCACATGTCCAGTTTCGAGGATTAATTGATTTTATTATGAATATCTACAGAACATGTGTATTCACAATAAAATGTTATCAAATACCTTGTTATATATATGACAATTGATCACATTTTAACGTGGTGTACTGTGTTCATATGTATATATAGATAGCATGTTGTTTTTCGTTTGGTAATTAAAATGGTTGTAACGGTGTTTAGTGTGTGTGTGGGGTGGGGGAGGGGAGAATCAACTCTAATATACACTCGTTATGATCGATTATTTTTTCATTCTTCATAAAATAAACTTTATCTTGACAAATACAAGATACGTCATCTATATTTCACTATCGTCTCTTATCTTTCAGACTTTATTTTGCACATAAATTATCTTTTTAGTGCTTTTATGCATATATTATAATATCATAGGATATCAAATTTTTTAATGTACTAAATCTTATAATGAAAGAAATATAAGCAGAGATTATTTTCATTGCTGTTTTTAGTCTTACAATTACTGACTGACTGACTAGTGGCTTTTATATATAATAAAATTATCACGTGTATTAAAAACAGATGAGATATGTATATATCATGATATCTTAAATGATTATTTATTTCAGAGTATTTCTTATACGGTTAAGTATTTTTACAGTGATTATATTTAAATATTCTTCTTTATATAATATAAGGTAATTGCATCGATTTTTTATTTTCTGTGCTTCTCCTTCTTAAAAATACCCTTTATCAAGGTTTTTCGTCCTCGTATTCCATCAGAAGCTATTCAGTTAGTATCACAACTACTCGACTATACACCTTCAAAGCGTTTAGAACCATTAGATGCTTGTCTTCATAGTTTCTTCGATGAATTAAGACAAGAAGAGACTACACTGCCTAATGACAGACCTCTACCTCCATTATTTAATTTAATACCATACGGTTAGTGTTATTTTTAATGATATTATTCTTTCTTAAATGCTTAAATCACTTATTATCAATAATAATGCTACTGCATGAGTTTCTATCATAATTGGCTCATATTTTCCGGTAACAATTAGGGCTAGTAAGAATTTTTTTATCAGTATTCTTAATTAGTTAGTACTCAAAAAGTTGAAAATAAGCTAGTTTTGTAAGCCAATTGACTGTCATTTTATCATATTCAGGCGGGGCGACGGCAGGGATATGGACTAACCACCGGATTGCGTTTCAGTGTAGAACTTTGCAAAGAAGTGAGGCGATTTAATTTGTTACACTGCATGTATAGCACACAAAGGTAGGGGAAAGAAACAAAAAATCTCAGTAGAAGTATGATGGACAGAAATATACGATGGAAAAATATTATGATGTCGCCACTTTTATATTTGCAATACATTGAATTGAATAAGGACCCCGGGATTGGCACACAGACGATGTAATCACGCAGTATCGTTAGGCTACTCCATCACCGTATACTATAGCTGCCTCTTTCCTCAACCCACGCACTACTTAAACGAAAACACAATAATATGAAGCGGAAAGCATATTTCGGTGTCAACGTAGAATATTTACAAAAGAATATATATATATATATATATATATATATATATATATATATATATTCATATATATATTCATGGCCATTGACGCAGGCGTAAGACATGTGAACAAAGGGATGTATGCATGGCGTATGTGTGGGAGATATCCATAAAAGGATAATCCATTGTTTATCCGTCTACACATCAAAAGTAAAGTAACACGGAGGGAATAAAATTCACATTTGAAGCGGAAAATGAACAAGGAGAATTAACTATGTTAGATTGTAAAACAAAACGAATAGAAGAAGGTAAACTGCACACTAGTGTGTACAGAAAACCTACTCATTCTAGTAGATATTTAGACTTTCATTCATCTCATCCGTTAACGGTTAACGCAGGCTTAGTTAAGTATGTAACAAATTGAGCAGTGGGATTAAGTAGCACAAAAAAAGACCTAAGTGGGGAAATAAAACAGATAGAAGAGGTGTTGGTGTTAAATAACTATCCTTTAAAATTCATTAGGAAGACCGAAAAAGGCCAAAAGAAAAACAAAAATAATTAGGAAACTAGTAATAATAACATAAATAAGAAAGCATATAAGTCATCTACAGTTATGCTGTATAAAGAGGGGACATCTGAGACCCTACGTAGGACTGTTAATAAAGCAGGAATTAGGGTGGCATTCAAACCTACAAATTCAGGGACACAGGCTGTGTAGGTTAAAGGACCCAGTTGACCCAATTAAACAAAATAGTATAGTTTACAAAATACCCTGCAATGACTGTGAGCTCAACTGCATAGGTCAAAGTAGAAGGTCAGGAGTAGTCAGATCGTCAGAACATAAGAATTTAGCCAAGGTAAGAATGGTTGACCCCGAGAAGATAAGTAATTTAGAAAAAAGCTCAGCAATTGCAATGCATGCGCTAACACACAACCACACAATAGGGTGGGAGAGGGTTAAAATTCTAAAAAGTAATCTAGGTAGGTGGAGAGAGAGCTTGATTACTGAATCCTTGTTCATCGAGTCTACACCAACATATGCAATAAGAATGACTCATCACTCATACCTGAAATATGGAAAGTACTATTACCAATCAAATCAAGTGAAAAATAACGGAACCATATAAATGAAGTTAGAAAGTTGTGTGAGTACCTTGATATGATTATGAGCAATAAATTGTGCTCGAAACGTTGTCATCAGTAGACATTACTGTATAGTACTGTGACACTTTATCAAAACAAAGTTTACCCATAGTGGAAACTATGTACACCTTATCTGCGACTCGTCATTTGCACAGATCATCCGTGTTGTGCTTATTTTGCCCCTCGTATTGTACTTCTTTATCTTCTTTCCGTGTATCCTAGGTGTTCCCGTAACACCGGTTCATTTGCTCTCTTTGATGTCAAATTTATCTCTCCGTTATTTTATGTTTTTTATGCCGATGAACGCCTCTTTATATACTACTGATAAATCTTATCAGTAGCACACGCCACACTAGCACTTAAGTACAATTAACGCATAAAGTATCACTGATCTTTGCTGTGTTGTGCCAGCGGGTAGAAATGACAAACAATTCAAATTACTCCAGGGACTATTTAAGTAGGGAAATTTTCTTGGCGTATTCAGTTATTGGATTTTCATCATGAGCTGACATCAGTTAGAGAACAATTGGAAAACCAACAAGGAGTACCGGACAGCTGTTTCGTCCTAGTTTGGGACTCTTCATCCTGCGCACCCATCGGGATTCAAACCCAGGACCTTCTGGTTACAGGGCTAGCGAGCTCGTAGACCATTAAGCCACTGGGACCCGATCCAATGGCCAGCTCATGAATTCTAATTTCTGCCAATTCACGACATAGTGCGACAGCTGGCCAATGTCTTTGGGGAGTATTTGTCCTTACACCCGACATTGGCTGGGGTCGCGTTATGTAGTGAATTAGCAGAAGTTAGAATTCATGAGCTGGCCATTGGATCGGGTCCCTGTGGCTTAATGGTCTACGAGCTCTCTAGCCTTGTAACCAGAAGGTCCTGAGTTCTAACCCCTTGTGGTGGCTGCGTACTACTGTCCAGTACTCCCTGTTGGTTTTCCAATGGTTCTCTAACTAGTGTCACCTAATGATGAAATCTTGTAACCAATCAATCAAATCCCTATAAACCAACACTTGAATATTTAGTTATTATTTATGCGTTTTAGACAAGAGTGGTATTTCATTGTTACCGTTGCCTGAATGAAAAGTAAAAATAAGTAATGAAAAATATATATTCCACTTCTAGTCGTGTTCTTGTTATTCTTTTTAATCTAACTCTTTAGAAATGACAATGCGAGATGATATGTACAAATTCCTTTCACCTTCACGGTCATCTTTAGGAGGTGGAGGGGGAGGAGGAGGCGCTGGAGGATCTGAATCGTCTGCTGTACTACCTACTTCAGGAACCTCAATGGCAGAACAACAACAACAACAACAACATCAACATAGCAATCAATCATCAGATGGAACAGATACTGGTTGTGGTGATCTGTTGGGTAAAGATCATGATACTACTTCTAGTACATCGGAAGGGGGTAATAAACTGTCCGATTCAGAGATTAGATTAGGAATCATTGCACCTTCTGGTAGTTCAGATAATTTACAAATTACATCAGATAACAATAATACTAATAATAATCAAACTGATATACCTCAACAATCAAAAGATTCTTATCAAAAAGAATCTGAATTAAAAGAAGTTCAAGATGTCACTAGTTAAACTTGTCGACTACACATTTATATATTCTCTATTCGCCATTAAATTTGTTTATTTGTATGTCTTCATATACAATAGAGACAGTTGGTTGGTAAGTTGTTTTGTGGAAGTTCAACAGAAGGATACTGATGATAAATATGCATATATATACACCCACACACAAACATAAAAAATAGTTTGACTCAGGTTTCTCTGGAAGTATGTCGTCATTCAAAAATAAATTGATCTGATGATACGTATGTACAAAGTTAAATTGTTTGTGTCTAAGCAAGTATAACCACAGAGAGACACACGGAGATAGAGAGATCCAGTGGAATTAAGACTATTGCACGTAAGCGACAATCATCACTATTTTGATGTTCATCATCATCATTATCACTGTCATCATAACAGAGTCGATGTTGAACTACTTTTTTCATTATTATTTTTCTCTCTCTTAGGCTTTCACTTGTTGTGAATTTCTGTACACATACATACATACATACACATACCCACCCACCCAAACACACAGTTATATACGTATATCACTCTTGATTGAATACGCCTTCCCTTCTGTCTCTCTCTTTCTATATAGTCATTTTCGATCTGATAAAATAACTCTTAATCATTTTCATTATTTTTAATGTGTGTTATCCTTTGTCTTAGACATCTTGTAGTTAAATTATTCACATTTTTATCATTAAAATAAAATGTTTTACTGGTTGTTTCACTACGATAGATGATAGGTATATATATATATAACTTATCCCCTATCCCTTGAGCAGAGTTTACGCGTTCAGTGTATGTGTTCAATTTCCAATTTTTTTGTTCTATATTTTATTCTGTTTGCATCCAGTTTACTATAACTCTATAGTCAAACATACTTCTTTCTCTATGTGCGCGCGTGTTTCGTATACTCCTCTCCGATCGGTAATAATAATTGAGACAAAATTGAGGCATTGTGTTTTGTGTGTTACTGTATCCCCCTGTCTTTGAGCATATCAGCGCTTTTAAACACATCGTTTTGTTTTTGTTTTTTTCCTTCATGGTTGTTTTCTAATTAATTATCATCCTGTGTGTAATGACTCCTAACTATTGTTTTCTGTTTTACCATTCCTATGCTGTTTTTCTTCTGTCAAACGCACGCACGCACGCGCGCACACACTCAATGTATTATGTAATGTGGAGCGCCTAAATACAAAGTCAATATTATATATATATATATACGCGAAAACAAAAGTAGTAGAAAACTTTATCTCCTTTACATAGCATTTTGTTCCCCTCCATTATTTCTTGTTGGTTCGTCTTTCATATCTTATCACGCGTGCGTGCGTGCGTGTACCTACTTATTATATAATCATACGTTATACTGTGTATGTATATGTGTATGTGTATGCATGTGTGCATGCTATTATTATTAAAGATGTAATCTATAAACATATGCACATTAATGTTATTATTATTACTGTGTTAATGTAGTGTATGTATTTTAAGCAAGTAAGTAAGCTCTCTCTGATGTAACAAAGTGTAAGTGATAATATGATATATTTTTTTCTCTCTTGTATTGTTTTTGTTTTTTTTCTTCTTGTTATTTCAATGTCACTTCGGCCAACTTGACTACTTAAAGACGATAATCGAAGTGAACCTGGGTTCATTATATCTTGACACCTTGTCACATATCACACCTTAATGAATAATAATGTTGAAAATTCAGGTAGTTTATTCTCAGGGGGGGAGAGTAATTCCTGAGCAGAATGAATTTCAAGGCTCAGTTGTTGAGCGTATTGCTTTTGGTTTAGGGAAACATGGATATATGCATATGTGGCGTGTACTATGTACTATGTAGATGAAGATTGATAGAAAGCGGCTAAAAATTAAAATCAACGTTTAAGTCAGTGACTTCAAGGGTAGAAATGTTAATTGCTTAAAATTTGGATTTAGTTTACGTTGCGATCTTGCAGCAATCTCATTGGACAACTTGTTGTCCCTTTGTTTAACCTTCGGTCAGTTGCAGACCAATCAGAACAATCTGTTGTCTGTTGATCTAGTTGACTTTTAATGTGGTTAAAAATGTATAAATATGATGTGTTTTTCCCTTGATAAATATAGTCCGTTACCAGTTCTCTTATCTTCTACCATTATATACATATATATATATATATATATATTTCATATGCCTACTGATGTTTTGGTTTGCGACATTCTGTACTTCACTTTATCATACCTTATGTCGAATAAAACTCATTCATCAATATTTATTGATGCCATATACCGAGTGAAGCACAACGTAAAACTCAGCGAAGCGCTTGATATGAAGACAGGGATAAGAAAAGCCTACTTACTGTCACCATTGATATTTCAGATTGTTGTGGGATTGGATCATACCGAAGACGGTGGGGAACGAGAAGACAAGAGTACGATGGACCAGTAAGAACAATCTAAAAGATATGAACTTAACGGATTATTAATCGAATGTAACACAAACTTGAAGATCTACAGGCGAAAACCAACAATTCGTCAGAAGAAGCAGCGAAGACACGGCTTCAAGTGAATGTAGAGAAAGCAAAGGTGGTGATGAAGATATCTATTAACCCGACTACAACAAGCACTAATCAGTAATAATAGAAGAAATTTCAACGAGTTCATTAGATTGGGCAGTACGAATAAGGGTGTCAAAGCCAGTCAGAATGAGAAAAGTAAGACAGACCTTCATTAATCTGAAATCAGTGCGTATATCTACTGCTTTCAGCTTAAAGAACAAAATTCGGATTTTCAACATTAGTGACAAGTCAGTTCTTCTATATGATTCAGAGGCTTGGCATTTCTGACAATCTGCAGACTTTTATCAACAGGCGCTTTTTTCCCTCCATACTGGAAATCAGATGACTATTCGAAAAGGACTGTCAACAAAGAGATCTGGCAACGAACCAATCAAGAACTTCCGCACAAAAAATACGCCACGCTGAGGAGACCGTTTAGTGATATCACCTGCCTTTGAGTGGAATCCGAATAGGAAACGTCGAGTCGCACATGGGTTTGAGGATGATATCGAGAACATGAAAGCTCATGCGCCATTGTGGAACCAACTAAGAAGGACTAAAGAGAATGCGATGAATTGGTGATATGCTTCTGAAGCCTTGTGTTGTACTCGAAGCCTAAGGAAATAATATATCTAATGCAATAAACTGTACTGTACCGTGCGGTATTCGTATCTTTATTAGGAAAATGAAACATGGTACTTATACATTTTGTTTACAATAATAAAGTGGACCTCACATCCATGAGAAATGATTGATCGCTCACAATATGCGTGAGAAATGATGGTATACTACTCTATCCGGGATCCCATCACTTGTTCCACTATTGATTTTCAGTGTTAGTTTACAGTGGTTTGGCTGATTTTAGATTTCGACTTAAAAGCCATTGGATTCAGCCCCAGAAACTGAATAGTCAAGTAGCTAACGTCTAATGCTCATTAGTATCTGACTACAAGATGCAGTTCTGGTGAGAAGTCGTTAACGGTGGAGCTGTCGGTGGCGCAATATGTACTATGAACCGGCAGAAATTGGGATTCATGGGCTATTCGGTTTCATTACGGTGGGTGATTTGATGGTCAGTGGATTAGCCTCATGGGTAGGAAGTCCTCAATCCTATTTCTCTTAGGAAGCCATAGGTGCTCAATGTCGAGAAATCGCAAACTAATTCGAAACAGTTGTTCAGGATTCATTGGTTCTCTAATTGATATCAGTGTGTCATCGAACTTAAAGTCCGAAACCGAGCACTTCGGTCCAATCAATCGACGGGAAAATCTCAAATTCAATAAAATTAATATGACCCGTTGCACAAGAGGTGGCTCTCATGGCCCAAGTGGTCTAGTGGATAACGCTTTGGCGCCTGAAACTATGGGTACTGGGTTCGATCCTCGGTGTGAATATCATCACTCACTGAGAAATGCAGGTACATCCAGATGACGAGTCCTAAAGAGAACGAAATGCGCTTTATCCTGGATTCCACTGCTAGTCACCATCCACCAATTAAACTTAAAGTCAGACAAATCCCTGCAAAGTGACATTTTATGACTAATTTCATTCTCACTAGTGACTTCTAACAAGAGTCCTAATGAGACATCATAATCTGTTCATTGCCACGATTTCCACAGAAAAGTTAATCTATCTTCACCGAAAAACTATATAAGTATTTTACATGGGCAGATTTCGTCTTCAACATTAATACTTTCAAATCAAAAGTGGTTGCTAGATAATTAAGTAGTTCGTATTTCTGCGTATGCTTTTTAAATCTTATACGAACTGTATTCTATTTAGAGGCTAAACTATAGTTACTGCCGTTCTTTTAAGATAAAATGGTTATGTAAGCCTTATTTATAATATACTAGATGTTTATTCCTTGTCAAAACCTCATGACTATACGTTGTTCATAGAACAGTTTAACTCCCTTTAATAAATAAGTACATTAATTCTGTGTTTCTATAAAACACGACAAGGACTTTGGACTACCAGTCCAAAATTGTCAATCATATGTGAACTGAAGGCGATCATTATAGATAACATACTTTATGACCTCAATTAATAGTAATCACTTAACAGCTGTCATTATAAAGAGAAAAAAAACTCGGTTAATTTATATAGTGAGGAATGAATGAAGTTAAACAAAACTTCAAGGGGCCACTTAATTCATTTTTATTTATATGTGGTTAATTGCTCAGTTCGTTGGTGTTCGTTCTACACAAGTATTAGTTAGGTCATAAAATTTGTTCACCGACTCAACTATCAGCCAAAGTGATATTTTGAGTCAAATTGTTTCTAAATACATCGTAGAAGCTGAAGAATTAGTTGGATTCCAACCATTTATTTTTCACTATACAGAAAATTTTCAGCTTAATATTCAAACTTCCGTTTTTGCCTTTCGACCCTTCGTCTCGTTAATTGTCACAACTGATAGCTGCTATCTTGACGTGGTGGTCAGGCTTGCACATCGCGATGATCCAACAAGCTGCACTGGCTGGAACCAATGTTCCTGCAGGTCCTACCATGCCAGGAAGGTTGTTAGGATAGCGATTAAACTAAAGGCAGTTGCCGGCATAGTGTAAGAATCTTTCCTACTGCTGGGGGACAGGGATGTAACATCAGTAAGGTGTTTCCCTCGGACGACAAGCATATCAGCTATGGTGTCGCGTCACTATGGAGAGAGGAGGTTAGAAAAGGTTGACCTCGAAAATTGTACATCCTGACTTATCCTAGTGTGGTCCGTAACCGGCGGTAAATTTACTGATACGGAACCAAACCAAGAAACCAGTTCATACAGGTCGTGTTTGATCGGCCTTAAGCAGTTGTTCCCTGGGCTCTACGTTAACAACATTAATTCTCCTTCTGCTTCAGGTACCCCAAGAAAAAAATCAACTTCCACTATGTGGGGCGCCGGGAAGTAACAACCGCCCACACACTTCCAAAAGCACACGAAGCCTTTCTGAGCATCATTCTCCTTTACCCACATAACCTTCATCATCTTACTTTCCTACTGCAGTTGTTACTGCTCTTCAGGCTAGTGAGTCATCTTCATTTCGTTCTGTGACCGTAACCACGATGAGAGCCTTAGAAACACCCCGATAGCCTCTTAAAGCCACGTCACCAACTTCATATAGGAGCATTTAACGTCAGGACCTACTGCCAAATTGAAAAACAAGCATCACTAGCAAGAACTCTGGCAACTGGAGCCATGGATGTATATTGTGTCTCGGAGACACGCGTACAAGACCCGAGTGTGGTCATTCACTTAACCTCACATGGTCAATAAGGTGAATCTACAAAATTCACTTTAAGGGTGTCAGGAGACTCCTCATCTAGTTCGCGAGGACTCGGAGGTATAGCAATAGCACTGAGTGTTAGGGCGGAAAAGTCACTTCTTGACTGGATAGATAGTCGTATGTGTGCGGTCCGTCTGGACTGGTCCATTATAAGAAGGAAGGACGGCGTTACCCATCGTTGTCTTTTCGTAGTCTCTGCTTACACCCCACCAAACTGCACTTCGGATGAACTAAAAGATGACTTCTACCGGAAACCGTCTATTTTACTGCAAAAAGCGAAATGTTCAGATATAGTTGTTTGAGCAAGCGACTTCAATGCCCAAGTAAGGAAGTTAGGCCATACTGAGAAGTGTATTGGTGGTAGGTATGGAATTCCCTGCAGACGAACCGACAACGGTGATTGTCTTTTACATTTCTGTTCAGATAATCATCTGTTGCTAGTCTGCACTAACTTTAAGCACAAAGAGACACTGCGTAGCCAGGTAACCTCCATCACCAAATCAACTTTGTACTCAGATAGACCACATAGCAATAGGGTATTGTTGGAGACGGTCAACAGAAGACTGCCTCTCCTTCTGGCACATGTGCGTAGATTCTGATCATGCCCTGGTTCGCGCACGTTTATGCTTACGTCTTACATAAAAAAATTGTTGGCAGTGAAGCAGTTACGTCCCCTCAGTTATATCGAGAATCCTAGTCCCTATTAAAGGGAGAAATAGCGAAACGAGTGTCTGAGGTC